CCTCTGCCTCCCGAGTGCTGGGATTAAAGGTGTGCACCACCATGCCTGACTCGATTTGTACTTTCTTATCTCTCCCTCTCTTTATGTTTTTTTTTTTTTTTTTAATTATTTTATTTTTTGAGACAGGATCTTCTTGTAGCCCCAGCTGGCCTGGAACGTACTATGTAGACCAGGCTGGCGTCAATCTGCCTGCCTCAATCTGCCTGCCTCTACCTCTGGAGTGTTGAGATTAAAGGTATGCAAGTCACGCCCAGCTATTTATTGGTTGATTGGTTTTTATTTTAATGTGAGTGTTTTGCCTGCATGAATAAGTGCACCTGAGCATGCAGTGCTCACACAAGCCAGAAGGCGCCAGATCCCCTGGAACTGGAATTACAGATAGTTGTTAGCCATCATGTGAATTCTGGGAGCCAAACTTGGGTCCCCTGCAAGAGCAGCCAGTGCTCTTAACCAATGAGCCATCTCTCCAGCCCCTCCCTTCCTTTATTTCTTATGATGCTAGCCAAGTGTTCTACCACTTTGCCTTACTACATGAATATTTTGTAAACAACACTTTTTGTAATAAAAATGTAGGTTTAAAATTTAAAAATAATTTAAAAATTATGTAGGTTGCATAATTATTATGAATCAGTTAAAAATTAAAATTAAGCCAGGTGTGGTGTGGTATAGCATGTCTGTAATCTCAGCATTTGGGAGGCAGAGACAGGTGAATCTCTTAAGGTTCAGGCCAGTCTGGTTTATATAGCAAGTCCTAGGCCAGTCAGAACTACAGGGTGAGATCCTGTCTTTAAAAAAAACAAAAATTAGGGACTGGAGAGATGGCTCAGCGGTTAAGAGCACTGACTACTCTTGCAGAGGACCCAGGTTCGATTCCCAGCACCCACATGGCAGCTATGAATCGTCCTTAACTCCAGTTCCAGGGGACTCCGACACCTTCTTCTGACCTCTGCAGCACTGCATGACACAGGTGCACCCACATACATGCAGGCAATACACTCATACACATAAAATAAATATAATAAATAAGGGGCTGGAGAGATGGCTCAGCAGTTAAGAACACTGGTTGTTCTTGCAGAAGACCGAGGTTCGAATCCCAGCACCCACATGGCAGCTAACAACTCTCCAGTCCCAGGGGATCTGACAGCCTCTTCTGACCTCTGCAGGCGTTGCACGCACAGGTGCACTTACCTACATGCAGGCAATACAGGCATGCACATAAAATAAAAAAATAATAAATAAAATTTTTTTAAAAATTAAAACAAAACAAAACAAAAATTAAAGCCAGCCTTGGCTACACAGCAAGTTTGAGGCCAGCCTCATACACAGGTCCCTGTCTCAAAATAAATAGACAAAAAATCAAGTAACGTTGAATTTAAATAAATGATTGGTTCTCAGGGTTGCAAGGGAAAACAATGTCAGTAAACTAGCACTGTTCTCTGGAACATAATATTCACCCAATGAACAGGTGTTTTTTGGGTGATCAAACCTAGATCCTGGTCCTTGCTAGGCAAGCACTTTACCAACCTGGGCTACACTCCCAGCTCTAGATTTTCTTTTAAATACCTTGCTCAGAGGTTCTCATTATGTGCTGGGCATATCACCCAGATTATCCCTCTCCAGCTATTGCCCTATTTTCTTTTCTTTCAAGTACCTTTCATCACCAGAAATGATCTGCTACGGTGCTTCTGTTGTTTTTAGCTGTCTGCACATGACTCAGTACTGGAACAGTGCCTGGCCTAGAGTTGGTGCTCAGTAATAAATGTGCTGAACAAAGAAAATGAAGGCGCAGATCATACCTAAATTAGGACTCTGTAGGGTAAGAAAGGAACTCACAGCTTCGTTGGGATGGGGGCAGCAGGCATCCAGGTAGTGGGCTGGACTGAGTATAGCAAAATTGCAGGCTTCCACACAGGTCCAGCAACAGTCTTGGGTCTCAGAGGCACCTTGCTTCCTGCAGGGGGAGCTACAGTCTGTGCAGCAGCCCTGGGCCTAAGAGATGATAAGGCTCGGGATCTGGGCCAGGAAGCAGGGAGGGGCAGAAAACTTTCCATGTTCTTTTCCAAGAGGAGCAAGAGAAGGGTTAACTGGGACAAGCAGGAAGACTGCTCTGGTCACAGAAAAACAGAAAGGAAAGATGCCAGGACTAAGTGGCAATGGCGTCTCAGAGCAGAAACCTGCAAGTGAGGGAGCGTACCAACCAACCAGGTTCCTCATCCCCAAAGCCCAACCTTTCTCCCCACCAGGCCGCTCACCAGCAGGAAACGCCTAGTGAGCAGCACTAGGCCCAGCAGCAACAAATAGATGCCCACAGCAATGAAGACGATGGCAGGGATGGGAAGCAGCAAGGGAGGGCTGCTGCCAGAAGCCGAAGCCACATTCCACGGGCTGGAGGAGGCCTGGGCAAGCACAGGAGAAAGAGGTGACCAAGAGGTAGGAAGCAGCTGCACAGGAACACCAAAAGAGACACAGGTCGGGGGCGGGGGAGTCTGTAGGGCAACCTTGATTCACCATCCTGCTGGTCATTCTAGAACCTTCTGAGAAGTATTGCTCCTCTTTGTAGAAGACTTCTCTACACAGATCTCTTGTACCTGACTGGTGTGACTACTTTTTCAACCCTCATTGCTGGCCCCTCCTTCAACTTGCCCCTTTCCACACCAGTTGCCATGTATCTCCATTAGTGGCTCCCAAGGGCTCAGGGACAAAGGACACCCCCCACCCTACTATAGGCCTGCCTACTTCGCTCTCCTCCCCCTCTATGCTTAGGTCACACGGATGTCTAAGCAGTTCCCGTCCTCTCCATCCTAGGCAGGTGCTACTTGCTGCTCTCTGGATTACTACTAAACCCTTTATCTTGCCAGGGATCCCCCAAACATGCCACCTCGGGAAAGTGTGTCCCCAGCACTCTCCCAGAGCTCTGCCCGAGCTGTAAGGGTCTATTGGGTAGAATATCCCTCCCCAGGCCGGGTTCACGGCGAGGCAAGGTGAGGCGAGCGGAGGGCGCTGACCGGGCCTGGACTCACGTCCATCGGACACGGCGGCGCGAGTCTGTCCAGAACTGCAGAAGAGAGGAGATCCCGGGCTCAGGGCTGAGAGCCGTTACACCAGGTGCCCAGGTTCCTCTTCCTTTGTTGGGAAACTGGGGCCCACGCTGATGGGGGTCTGGGGACTCGAGGGCGGCGCCTTCCCCGCTGGCTCCAGCAGGCCCGGGCCACGCCCTCCACGGACCCCTCATCCAGGCTCCCTCAACCCGCCGGTCCGCATCACCTGCACCCTCGAGGCCGCGGGCAGTTTACAGATTCCGCGCCGCGCTGGGTCCAAACAGTCCTGGCGCCAGCACCGCCCAGAAGTCTGGCACTGCTTCTTGCCGTTGCCATGGGGACCAGGAGCTGCGACTACGGCGGCCGCCGAGACTCAAACTCACTCTTCCCGCCTCACTCCACTGGCCTCAGTTTGCGACCACTTTGTTTATAATCTCGAAACTCCGTTTCCCGCCCAGACTCAACGGAAGTGCGAATTCCTGGTCGAATCTTCGTCAGATGCTGGGCGTCAGAAGGAGGCGTGCTGGGTCCTGGGGTGCTGCAAAGGGAGAACCAGAGTCAGTGAGCCTCCCTGTGTTCATTAGATCTTTTGCAGAGATACTGTGTTTAAAATCAACAACAAACAAACCCCACTTTTAACTGTATGGCGTTATCAATACGTTTTCAACCTGATCTCATTTCACCATTTTTTACTTTTTTTCTCCAGCTTTGGATCACTGTCAAAAGTGATTTTCTACCAACCACATCATATCTTTTTTGTTTGTTCCTTCGTTTATTTGTTTAGGGTTTTTTGAGATAGGGTCTTCCTGTAGCCCCAGCTGGCTATGTAGACCAGGCTGGCCTTGATCTCACAGAGATCCTGCTACTTCTGCCTCCTGAGTGCTGGGATCAAAGGCATGTGTCACCACTGGGTGCTCACATCAAATCTAGTTCCTTTTCCACTTTGAACCCCTCAAAAGCGTCCCAGTGACTCTAGGATGAAGCCCAAACCTGTAGCAGGCTGTTTCCATCTAATCTTTTCACATCTCCCAGAGGTGCCAAGCTCTGCTGTAGGCCTTGGAGCTCCAAGAAGGCAAATTTCCTGACCTTCTACTGACATTTTGCTGGAGGGCAGGCCCAGATAATACAAGTGTGGACAGATAAAATTTTATGTCCAATCAGTTCTTTGAATATGCCACATAAGATCTGCTGAAGGTCGCTAAGATTGCATGCATAGGGTCTCACAGCTCTTCAGCCTTGCAAATGCTGTTCCCTCTGCCTAGAACACCCTTACTTTCTCTTGATGCACTCCTGCCTCATCCCTCAACCCCATGCTCAGTTTTGCCCCCCCCCTCCCCCGTGAGGTCTTGCTGTCCCCTCAGGTTTAGGTTGCTGCTCTGAGCTTTGCATTCTGACTCCCAGATGGGTGCCACTCTTCAGCCCCATCACAGAGGTACTGAAATTCTCCATGTCTGCCTGACCCCTGAGTCAGACTGCAAGTGCTGGGCCTGCTCTGATTCAGCTCCATGGCCCAAGCTCTAGTTCTTGGCCTGGCTTTGGGACCTCCCAGAAAACAATCCACTGACTCAATTCTAGCTCTATCCACGAATGCAGTGTTGTCAATCAGCCGCCCTGTTCTTTTGCCTCCCAAGGTGCTCAGTTTCCCTCCTGACCTTTCTGGTTGTAAACATCTGGTTGCATGTGCATGAGCATGTGCACACACTCCTCCCATGAAGGCCTTGTGCTCCCTGCATAGTGGCTACATCCTGACATTTCCCTCAAACACAGTGCCACCATATACCTACTTCTGCTCCTTCTCATGATGTACCTTACCACAGCTGCTGCCCCCCAGCTTTCCATGAGGAAGCTGCAGAAATTGTCAGGGCTTTTGTCCTGGATCTTGAACCTCTCCTTTCCCTTTTCAGTCACATTTATAGGGTCCTTGCCACGCCCTATGTCACCTCTAGCCCTTTCAGAGAACTGGAGTTTAGCTACTTCCTAATGCCGCCATCATTGATTGAAAGCAGGGTCAGGTTGCTTCCTTGAGATTGTCTTTTTTTTTTCTGAGTCTCAAGGACCAGGCTGAGCACAGTTCCCATCTCTGCTACAGGAAGGCCTCCGGTGACACAAGTCTTGTCTATTTTCAGACTCTGCCAGAAGAGAGACTTGAGCTTTGGCAAGGGCCCAGGCACATCCATGGTCCACAGTGGCCAGTCTAATGGTATTCTGTCCTTACCAGTGGCTCCCCCCGTGTGTACGAGGGCTGACTGCACCAGGCCAACTAGTTGCTAGGCAAGGCAATAGGAGGGGGTAATGTATGTGCCTCACTTTGCCAAGGCCCCACTTCTTTTTTTTTTCTGTTAGAAATTACATTTCCTTTTAATTGAGTACTTCAGACCACATCCTTTCTTGGTTGCTGCTCTGGTAACAGCCAGGTCCCCACCTCTCCAGAATGTTCAGCTGACTACACTGAGCCCACATGAACATGGGCCCAAACCAAGGCCTTTGGAACAGTAGAACAATGCACACACAGTGGGAAGCAGGGAAACACTGACTTCATGGCAGCTATCACAACTCCCTCAGCCCGAAGTTCAAAGCTGAAGGTGTCAAATAGTGTCACAGAAGGTGTCGAACAGACCCAGGAAATTGAGAAAAAAAGGCCATACTCCCCACCATTGTAGGGTGAGTGAGAGATGGGAGATGCAGAGGTCACAGAAGAAGAACGAAGCCTGGGGAGGCTTGGGTGTGGGCATGGGGAGGGAGCCAGCTCTGATTTTGATTTATTTATTTTTATGTATATAAGTGTTTTACTTGCAAGTAGGTAGGTGCACCACATTCATGCAATGCCCGTGGAGGCCAGAAGAGGGCATAGGATCCCCTGGAATTGGAGTTAGGGATGATAGTCACCATGTGGGTGCTGGGAACTGAACCCTGGTCCTCTGTAAGAGTAGCCAGCATCCTTAACCACTGAGTCATCTCTTCAGCCCCCAGATCTAATTTTGATCTAATACTTTCAATTCTTCCATTGGCCCTCTGACAGTATCATCTCCTAGATATTAAGAAAAGGTTCCCAAGTTGGGCGTGGTGGCGCATGACTTTAGTCCCAGCACTTGGGAGGCAGAAGCAAGTGGATCTCTGTGAGTTTGATGCCAGCCTGGTCTACATAGCAAGTTCCCGGCCAGCTGAGGCTACAGGGAGACCCTGTCTCAAAAAAAGAAAGAAAAGGTTCCTGGGCTGGGGAGATGGCTCAACAGAATAAAGGTGCTTACCACTCAAGTCTAAAGACCTGTAAAGTCTAAAACCCATGTAAACCCATGTAAAGGTGGAAGAAGAGAACTGACTCCTTTGATCTTCACACACATGCTGCAGCATGAGTACACACACATTGCAGGCACACACACACATACACACACACACACACACACATGTCCTTTTGGAGACAGGGTCTCCCTATAGTCCCAGCTGGCCTAGAACTCACTATGTAGACCAGGCTGGCCTTGAACTCACAGATATCTGCCTGCCTCTGCCTTCTGAGTGCTGGGATTAAAGGCATGTGCCACCATGCCCGGCACCTCAGCCTTCTTAACATGAAAATGAAAGGCTTATACTTAAGTCATTACTGTGCAGGATTAAAGATGCTGCCCTCAGCCAGATGTGGTGGCTCACTCTGTGATCCTAGCATATGCAGGGCCTAGACAGGAGGATCCTAAGTCCAAAAACCATCCTTGATATTAAGACCCATCTCACAAGGATAGGCATGCAGGAGGCTTAATAGTAGAGCGCTTTCATAGCCTGAGCAAGGCTTCATTCCCTAGTCCCACAGAACAATCAGGCAACCACTACTAAAGGGTACAATGACCTGTCATAAGGAACTGTGCTCTCTGCTACCTCATTTACTCATCCCCAGCAGCCCTTTGTAGAGTTCTTGCTACTGTCCCATTTGTACATAAAAATTTTAAGGCTTGGGAGAGTCAGAGCACCTGCACAAAGATTCTTGGGTGGATAGTAGCAAAACCAGGATTCAGGCCCAGGCAATGCATGCATGACAGAGGCTCAGAAAGGTTCTGAAACCTAGCCAAGATCACACTGACAAGATACGCAAGAAAGGGCCTAGAATCCATGGGGCCTAGAATCCCATCCATCCATCTTCATCTCATCTGTTGTACACTGCAGCTTTTTCTGGTGTAAGGAGAAAAAGGGTAGGACCAGACTTGCTTGGCACTGTACTAACTCAGGACAGGTACAAACAAAAGAACTAAATAATAAATGTCCTGGCACCCTGACCAGACCTCTCCACAGAGTGCAGGTAGAGGGAATCCTACCCTTGTCTGGGTATCAGGTGGAAAACAGACACTGCAGGCTGCTCAGTGGTTTATTCACAGTCTCCAGGACATCACACCTGCTCCCTGCTGGCACAGGGCTGAGGCAGGCAGTGCCTAGGATGAGCCTGGGAGCCTGGGACAAGCGAGCCCAAAGCAACAGGAAATGCTAAACTCCAGGCCCAGGGGAACTTGCTGACAGGTCTGCAATGACAGAAAGCAGTGTGGGGGCAAGAGACTTATCTGGTGAGTCAGGCTGAGGGAGGGAGGGACAGAGGTTACCTGTGCTGAGTGAGCACTGCCCACACCATTCTTCCATAGGTGCCTTCAGTGGCTAGAAAGCTATCTGATTGCAGTCCCAGGCCAGGAGGGACTGGTGGTCTCTCCCTTCCTCCACAGGCATAGTCAGACTCTTTTGGAACACTTGAACTGCAGCAATGTGTGTGGAGGGCATCTCATCTTGGGTTTATTTTAGGTGGCATACCAGTTCAGTGAGCAAATACACACACACATACATGCACGTGCACACACATACA